ATATGCCAGATATTTTTGAAAATGAGAGGAGTAACTTAAAGTTATAAATCAGAAGTTGTGTTTATTAGTAGTAAACTAAATGTTGTATACTATGAAGCTAAAATCTATGGAGACGCCTGTGAATTCTAGTTTAGTGTATACTTGTTGAATAGAAATAAAATAAAAATCCTCCATTCTCATGCAGAGAACACTTCATGAATAAGGTTAAGCACTTCATAAAGAGGATCATCATGAAGATGAAATCCAACACACTAAGCGCGCGCATCATAGTATGGGGTACGCAGAACAATAAATTATCTTTTGTTTAGAAAATGACAAGGAGATGGAATAATCTCACATTGTGAGAGTGTTTGGAGAAAATAATAGTTGTCGACAACGCTACCTCTATAATTGCAAATGTTTCTCTTATGGGAACCCAGATCCGAAAAATAAAGTCCATGGCAAAGTCACCTGTAGCGATTATATTGGGTCAATGAAGAAAGCAATTGAGGTTGAATCTCCTACTAAGAAGAAATAAATGTTCTGCTATATCTCTAGCAAATGAAATGAATGAATATGAAATATGCAGTTAATAAGTGGATTACGATGATCCATATAGTTCCTAAAGAATATAAATCGCAACATATGGAAATTAAATCTCATACTAAGTATTACGAAGTCTAAGGTATAATATATTCCTGAATGGATATTAAAGTCTCAAGAAGAGAATATCCTAGAAGGAATAGTCATCGAGTGACTTTGTAAGCATAGAAGAGAAATGTTATTCACTAAGAATGAGAACATCCTTAAAGGATTTAATCCATGAAGGATTTACCAATCAATTCTTGAAAAAAAACCATTAATCCCTGAAGTGGATGTAGACCTGAGAGAAAGAAAATAAGAAATGCTAAATACCATGAAGGTGTCATACAAACACTCAGAAAGTGTATATTGTAAAGCTAGCAACAAATTGTTGATATCCTCTAAAATACCATATAAGGTATAAGAATAATGGTGACTTTGGTAATTGAATTATTCCCTAAATGCTAAATGCAAGACTGAATTTATTATTTAGTGGTACAATCAAAATCCTAAAGATTTGTAGAACATATAATTGAAAAAACCACTAAGAAAGAATTATAAGTAATCAAACTCTAGTATAAGTTTGATACACTATCTAGAAGATATTGAATGTAACTTATTTACCCTCACAGTCCTCTGAAAGGATTTATTACCCTAAAAGATAAATTTTATTTGTTTTGCACAACTAATAAGTGGTCATCTATGCATGAAGAATATTGCTCTTGTTTACTCATATTATAATTCATTGAAGAATGATAAGCCAACATTTTGAAAGATATAGTATTATGATACTGCATACCATTATTAAGCACACATTTATGAAAGGTGTGGTCTGAACAACGAAGTTTAAAGGATGACTTTAAGAGAGGGAGCAATTTGAGTGAATCTACCTTGAATATAATTAAAACCACTAGAATTACAAAGATCAAGTAGATCATATTTACTAAAATATTGAAGTTTATGCATAGATCATGAAGATAAGTATCTATTCATGAAGAATAGAATATCCTAAAGAATACATGACAAGAAGGTTAAATGTTGCACTCTTTTTTCCTATGTGAGTTTTTAGTTGAAGATTTCTGACACACAAGGTTTTTAATGAGACAACATGTGCAATGCAATTAACGAATGCGATGTACTCTTTTCTCAAAGAACCATTTTTTCCACTGGATTTTTGGATATAGTTTTTAATGAGGCATGAACATATCGTGGTAATCACCCAAGGAGGAGTGTTGTAAAACATATGGACTATATCTTAGAAGGAAAGGAAAAGGTGGAATCATAATCCTAGTCTGTTTGTATGTGGGCTCTTACCAAACTCTTAGGTCTTGGCAGGACTATATATATGTGTGAGCTATATGTTGTAATCACCAATATTCAGAGAAATAAAGAATAGTCTCCCTATCTCTTGTGTCTATGTGTTCTACTTTTATCTATTATGTTGATCATGAGAGATGGAGAGGGAAAGGCCTTAACCGCTGGCAACATGTTTTATAACACATACCATTTCATTTCATCGTCAGAACAGTATCCACCCACCGTACGTTTCCGCACCCAGGTTGTTTGCACTGTACCAAACACGCGTATACGGAATATATATACACCTTTGAAAAAATAAAGATGACATGGTAAGCCAAGTATATATCATGTATAGCCATGTAACCCTATGAATTCGATATATATGATTAGAGACGTCGAGGAGTAGCTACTACTACACATCTCGACCGTTCATCGGTCAATTTAGCCATGTGCGAAAGAAGTTGAGGTGACGAGTTACCCCTTACACGACGAGTCGTATGGCTCCGTCCTAAAAAATGTGCATATTTGTAGAGTTAGTGATCACTTCGGGATACCGCACTCTCGGTTATTAGCAAGTTCTTGACCTATAACCTCTGAGCAGGCTTACGAAGAAAAGACTTGTGGAAGATCGAGTTTCACCATGACACTCTTGTTCATGCTACTGCTTACACACCGTGCTATGACTAGCTTGTAACTTGATAGACGGACATTTTTACATTACGCACAAATGTTTTGATGCGTGTTGACCTAACTATAGTCTCAAAATTAAATGCATATTGCATATTACTTTGAGTAGTGGATAGCACCGATGCGATTACAGGAACAACATGATTAGTTGTATTAAATCGAGTGTGGTCAATAGATGATAGATTGATTTAGTATGATTAATAGGATGATAGATTGATTTAGTACATGATTAATACGAGAGTCCTCTCAATTGTTGTAATGGAGCGATTTCACACACTAATTTGTTGCAGATCCACAAAATCGGCATTCCAAAATAGTCATCGGTTACCTACAAAGTATAAGTTACTTTGGTTTTTCTATGTACGCAATTCTTATTATATACATCTACAGATACTGGATACTATACGCTATGTATAGATACCACTGGATGAGAGGAAAGAGAAGTTCCTGAGATTGTGGCCACTTGAATCGAAGGACGAGCAAGTCACCTATGGTAGTTTCTTGTAGATAGACAACCAATGCAATGTGACAATCCGAGGAGGATAGCACCTCCCGTACAGTTGATCTCCTAGTTGTCAATCCATCGGAAAGGTGGCCTGCTTGCGCGCACATCAATCGTTACTGAACGCTTTCCCATCTGAACGGTCCCAAGAGATTCGTACGTGACGTGTCCACCACCATCACACCTTACCTGCCTGCCGTAACAAAAGCCGGCTGGCCACACGTACGTTACCATATCTCCGCTCTATCACTTCCTGTCGCATGCAACGTATATACAAAATACTCTATCTCTACAACTAAAACATTCATAACTATTCCGTTCACAGGTGCGACACCAAAACCGCTCGCTCCATGCATCCCCGGGTGCTACCCCATGGCTTCCTCGCTCCTCCCCACCCCCGCACCCGACGCGCGCCGTCAATTACCCACCCATGCGATCCCTGTCCACCCTCGCGCGACTCCGTCTCTCCCCCGCATGCGCGACTCCTCTCCCGCGACATGCGCCAGGACGTGAGGCCACCAGGGCTCCGACCGCCGGCCATCCGTAGCAGTAGGAGGCGCATCCGGTGCCGCAGTCATCCAAGGCCTCGGTCTCCGAGGAGATCTCATCCGGTCGGGCGTTGGTCTCGCAGCGGCCACGTGCACAAGACAATGTCGAGGGCGCGTTGATGCGTGCGCGGGGGGGAGCCTCCTGGCAGCGGCGGCGCAGCATCACTGATGCCAGAGCAGGTACTAATCGCGAATTTATGCCTCAGTTCGGGATTTAGGGTTCCAAATTTGGGGAAAAAGTTTTGATGAGCAAATTAGGGTTCGGGAGTCCTGCTCGTCGCCTCGGCCTAGGCCTTGCAGCGGGGACCCTCGTCAGGTTGTGCGGAGCCACGCTCGCCGGCCCATCCCATGCCGCGCATTGGCGCCCTCATCGGATCTCTGTACTCCTTGCCAACACCTGCAAGTTCTTCCTTCTCCTTTCCCTGAGCCAGCCGATGATAATCTATACCTGCGACCTTCTAGAAGCGTTGAATCTTGTATTCTGCAGGTGCTTAAAGCTATGGTTAAAATGGGCATCCTTTTTCCCTCTCGGAGAAGTTTGAAAGAAGAAGCGTAAACTTGCTGCAATCGGTAATGTTGTGTGACCTACCAATTTGAAAAGAAGAAGTTCATGGTTTATTCTATCAATTTTATTATGTTGACTCGAATTAAATTTTTGAGGAGCGGTCTTTTAGCGATCGTGGTTGACCCATCATTTGTGGTGGTGAGCATTCTCAAGTTTCATTGTCTAATAGTTTACATGTTTATTATAAGGAAATTGTTATTATGCTATCGGTTTACTCATGCTTTCTCCCTTTTATGCAGTTTGAGATTGTATTGTTCAAGGCTTTGATCCTAGGTTCGAATTTTCTCTGAGAGATTGCTAAGCCGTGAGTACTTTCTGCATTACTAGCATCTCAATACTTATTAGCCCTCTAATTATTTTGACACTGATTTGGAAAAAGGGTTGGTTTTTACCCATCATTTAATTGTTGGAGGTGTTTTCGTTGCTCTCTCGCTTGCAAATATATGCTTTTATGCTCAAATGTTATTTCTGAATGTTCTATTGCTAAGTTGATTTTTTACTATTAGGATGGGAGCATTAACTGGACCTGATTAATACAATTATGTTGTTACCAAGCGCAGTTGGCGTCACTTCCAACAAGCATTCTATAGGATGAAGGAAGCTGTTAGTTTCATGTGATACAACTGATGCTGAAAATTTGGCACCTCATGTGGCCCCTAGCATCCCCTAATCTGTAGGTAGAGTTCTTGGCTAAATTTGGACTGAATAAGTAATGTGAGCACTCCTTTTTCCCCCTCGTCAGTGTGACATTGTGTTTAGCTTTGTCTTTGGTGCTAATGAAACCAAAAAATTTGCGTCTTTAGGTTACTGCAGTTGAGGCGGTTGGAGTGGCGGCGCGATGGGCATCTCGACGAAGTGGCTCAGGTCATTAGTTGGGTTGAGGAAGGTGGAGCGGCAGCAATGGCATCGTAAGGAGGATGCAGATGTTGGAGTTAGACCTGGACGAATGGTACGCGTAGGGTTTCTTCCAATAATTATGAAGTTCTTGCATATCTTGTTCTTAAATTCGTGGTTGGTGCATTCATTCTACTTATTGCCTAGACCTATGTGGATTATGCAAGAATCATTTTTCTTATGATCGTTCTGTCGGGAATTAGTAGGGTTTCTCTTTAGGGGCTTGGGCTTTCCCTTATCAAGTTGATGAGCGTAGTATTGTTCTTTTGTTGCTGGTTCAACATTTGGTAAGATGCCCGCAGCATAATGGCCAGGGCTTTTTCTTTTTCTCCGTGATGCGAGTGTTTGTTTTGGATATCACTATTGATATATGCAAAAGGAACAAAAAAGGTTAGCATGTGCTTTCTGGCCGAGTTCTAGACCATCTATGTAAATACTGAGTTGCTGAAAAAAAAGATTGAAAACTTAAATACTGAGTTTCTGAACAATATACAATAGTTCTAGACCATGTATGTAAATGGTTGGTGTTAATTAACAACCATGCTTTACCTTTCTATGCAACAAATTTCTTGAAAAAAAATGATACATAGAACTATATAAATCACGATGTAATAAGTTGTCTCATCTGCACTGTGCATTATATCATAATATTTTCCACTACTTTTGGTATTCAGGAAGCACATCCAGAATCTAACAAAAGAGTTCTTGCGATAGTTGGTGCTCTTGAGAAATTGGAGCTTAGTCCCAAGGTATACCGACAATACTACTTCGAATATTCACAACTATTTTTTGGAACTTGATCTTAAAAAAACACCTTTTTCATTTTACCTTTATTTGAAACCATGCTAAAATTGAATCATATAAAAAGAAATAGGATGTGCAATCAACTTGAGGACATTGTCTTATCTCACTATGTTTCAATAGTTCCTTCTGCCTTTAGTCAAACCTTCTGGGGCTTTGGCATGTTTCTTTCTTATACCGTGTACAATTGCATTTCACTAGAAAAGGACGAGTACTCATAAATTAAATGTTATCTCATTTGTTTAGTTTTCAGCATCATGGTTCACAGGTTCTTGAAATTCAAAATTTCAACCCTACTTCTCTAGATGATGTTGCACATGTTCATTCAAGATCTTACATCACTGGACTCGAAAAAGGTCTTGGTCATGATCTTTGTCCTTATTTATTCTTACTTTTTTTATAAGAAGTTGCTTTTCTCATCTGGTGAAAACCTATTAGATAGGTTTGAAATAATACTGCAATTTCCTTAATATGTGGCAGCATGTGGCTACAGGCTATGGGTAGAGCTTCAGATGAAGGTCTGATATTTATTGAAGGGACTGGACCAACATACGCTACAGAGACCGTAATGCTTTATGTATGTGCCCTTTTCGTTTTTACATGCTTCTGATGTTAATTGTGCATGCCCTCTCCTATGCCATGCTAGTATTAATTTGGTTGGAACTTAGAAATAGACAGAGTATTACTCGATATGCTTACAACTAATAGCATTATATATGAGTTATTTCTTATTTAGCAGTTATCATGAGAAGTACGAACTGGTGATTCATTCAGACGCCTTATGATTTTGATGTTACTGATATCTGCAAAAATTCTGATCAATAAATTTAACACTGAAGAACACTTTAACGAAGTCTGAACTGGCACTAAGGCACCACCCAAATTCTTTTAAGAAAGCTATTAAAGTATATAAGACATTGTTGATTTTATCACTCAAATTTTCTGCGATATAATTTTAAGTTGCTATATACTCATTGATTGTTCCATAGTCTACTTCACCTATTGATGTGCATACTACTGGAATCTGCAAAATTTTAGATATCACCATTTTAAGTCATTCTATTATTTTCTGTATAGACTTTCCAAGAATCACTTCTATCAGCTGGTGCCGGAATCAAATTGGTTGATTCAGTGGTAACTAATCTTCTCTCTGTTGACTATATTGGTGGTTTCAGCATGTTTTTTATTTTACTTTGTAGTGTTGTTTCCCCAAGAAACATTGCGTGTTTTCTTAAGTAGTTAGGTTCTAATCCGCCCCTTGCCTTTGCTTTAGTAAGGCCACCAGGACATCATGATGTTCCTCAAGGTCCATTGGGTTTTCGTATCTTTGGGAACATCACAGTGGTAGCTCCGTATGCTCAGCATCAACATGGACTAAAGCGTGTGATGATAACAGATTTTGACGTTCACCATGGCAATGGGACATCCGATGCATTTTATGATGATCCAGACATATTCTTCCTCTCAACTCACCAGGTTTTGTACCCCTGTTTTCTGTGTCTGTGACATCTCTTTGTGCAACTATGTGCTGAACTTTACCATGAAAGAGTCTTTGTTTTCCATGTGTGATGTAGCTTGGAAGCTACCCAGGTACTGGTAAGATCAATGAAGTCGGACAGGGTGATGGTGAAGGCATGACACTCAACCTTCCTCTGCCCGGTGGCACAGGTGACTACGCCATGAGGTGTGCATTTGATGAGGTCATTGCTCCATCGGCTCATCGAAATAAGCCGAGTGAGATCCTCCTATCCATCCTTAAAATCAAGGCTCTTCAGTTCATGAACATCCTGAGAAATAACTCGTTGGTTATATGAAACCGCAGATCTTCTAAGGAACGAACTTGCTGCTACTAATACAAAAGTCAGAAGAGAATGAAGTAGAGTTTTGCTTGTACTGTTTTCTTTGGGTATAGAAATACAACATGCCGATCTCTGGACTACTTAACTGAATGCACAATTGTCTTTATGATTTCGTATTTATAGAGAAATTAAGCTGTAAAATCCTTAAAAAGTACAAAAATACATTGCTTTTATTGAGAACTGTGGCCTACTGTTCAGTCTTCCCTTGCTGCTGCTATAGTTAGGTTGTTATTTTGTATCACAACTGCCAACTGGGTAGTATGGATATAGCATTTGTCTCTGCTTTCTGTTATCATCTCTGGCTCTTCATTTGGTAGTCTGTGTGCAATGGTTGGCTTTAATTATTTTATGCTTTGCACTCCAAAGATGTTAGATTTATAGTTTAATGAGCATTGACCCTGAGTGGTCGAGGTGGAACTGACTGGACGTTGCGGTTTAGCTCAGGACATGCAAAATGGAGGCTCCAGGAGGTGATGATGGCTAGAGGTGTATATGGTGGTTGCCATTGTTTTTGTGTTTCAAGAATATAGTAATCAGTGGAGTTGCAATGTAATAATTCATGAAGGAAAATATTGGAATATAATTAGAGAGTACCAGTTTATGATATCTTTCGATGGTTCTAATTTGCACACCCGAATGTTGCTGTAGCGTTAGCAATCCGCACAATAGAGTTTGTGAGCCTACGACGCCACGCTCTCTGTGACTGTTAATTTCATGAACTTTGTCTTTTTTATTAAATATCACTTTAACGTCGGTATTTAATTTCACAGTATTGTTATCTTATCGTGCGATCCATGTGTTTTTAATACAAAAGTTTAGTGGTTCCGTAGCAACGTACGGGCACAAACCTAGTATATATAATAGATAAATAATAAATCCTAGCGGAAATAAGCAGCAGCCCACAGAAATCGTGCAACGATTCTTGGTTTCTACTCCAAACAAGCCGCCAGGTTTATTTTCACGAGTAATAAGTAAAGTAATTAATTGCCTGCTAAGTAAAAAAAATCTTTTGAAAGGCCTCGGATTATTTGCCTTTTTCGTTTTTATTTTCGTCTCGACTTGTATTCTCACTGACCACGGCCAACCCAACAGCGCTAGCAGCTAGCGCCATAAATACGCGCTCTCGGCTCCTTTGTTGCGGCCTAGCCTCTCCCTCCTCCCAAGGCAGGCTGCTCTGTGACGTTCGCACCGCCAGCGCCACCCGCGTCGCCATCTCCACCAGGCACATCCACCAGACCACCACCACCTTGGGCGCCGGGCCCCCCTCCATGCTCTGCTTGTGCTCGTCTTCTCTTATATAAGACGCGGACGCATGTTCTCGGAGGAGGCTGAGGACAAGATATAGAGGCGTCGCCGGCCCGTGCCACGATCGGCAGATATACATGGCCGTGGAAGCGCACCGCCTCCTCTTAGCGCAACAAGGGCAGAAGCAATTCACCAACGCGGCGGCGGCGGGATGGCCTTGGACGACGGGCGACGAAGCTAGATGCGCGACGGCGAGGCCGAGCCATCATCAACAGGCGTCGTTCCAGTTCCCGCAGGCCCAGGCCTCGTGCGTGGGCGTGGGCCTGCCGGCGGCTCCGGTCTCGTCGGCCGCGCCGGTAGCGCAGTACGCTGCTGGTGGGCAGATGTTCGTGGGCGACGCGGCGGAGAGCGGCGTCACGTTCGGAGGAGGCGCGGCGCAGCAGCCGCAGGAGGTGGTGGCGATGGCGATGGCGCCCAGGAAGCGGAAGCGCGTCGTCCAGCAGGGGCAGACGCCGCCGGTTCTCGAGATCGGCGCGGCCGACGTGGCGGCGCACTTTCATCAGCAACTCGTCGACGTCGACCGCCTCGTCCTCCAACACGTAAGTTTACTTTTATAAGCCGCATGCCGGCGTTTAAGCCGTCATCAACCAGTACGGTGGGTGATTGGTGGAGCTGATAGAGCTGACGTGTTTTGCGGCTTTTGAATAACTGCAGACCGCGAAGATGTGGGCGGAGCTCGCGGAGCAGAGGCGGCGGCACGCGCGGCAGGTCGTGGCCACCGTGGAGGCCGCGGCGGCGAAGCGGATGCGCGCCAAGGAGGAGGAGATCCAGCGGATGGGGCGCCTCAACTGGGCTCTCGAGGAGCGCGTGAAGAGCCTCTACGTGGAGGCGCAGGTGTGGCGCGACCTGGCGCAGTCCAACGAGGCCGCCGCCAACGCGCTCCGCGGCGAGCTGCAGCAGGCGCTCGACGCCCAGCAGGCGCGCTTGTGCGGCGGCGCCACTGGCGCTGGCACCGGCACCGGCGGCGCCGACGACGCCGAGTCGTGCTGCTGCGGGGAGAACGACGTCGTCGCCGGAGCCGGAGCAGGTGGGGCGGGCCCGGAGGACGACGAGGAGGCCGGGACGTCGTCGCCGCCGGGCCACAGGAGGACGTGCGCGGTGTGCGGCGAGGGCGCGGCCGAGGTGCTGCTCCTGCCGTGCCGCCACCTGTGCGCGTGCGCGCCGTGCGCGGGCGCGGCCAGGGCGTGCCCGGCGTGCGGGTGCGCCAAGAATGGCAGCGTCTGCGTCAACTTTTCGTGATGGTCCTGAAACCGATAGGATTACTGGATTAGAGTAGTTTTTTTTGGGGCCATCTTGTTGATGGAGGCGCGACGGTTCAGTGAAGACGGATGCATCTTTGTACTTGCCTTTTTTCTCTCTCTCAAAAAAACTGTCAACAAGAAAAAATAGTCGAAAAATTCGGAAACTCTCATTATCGTTGTTGTGCTGCTTCAGTTTGTTTTCTAGTTTGTTGTATTTGTTCCCGGCTTGAGATTCTCTGTCCCTTTTGTATTTTTTATTACACTAGATAAATGCTCGTCCGTTACATAGAAACCTAACAATAATATGGTAATTTAAGCATGAGCGTATGTTGTATTTATTTTAAAAATAGTATGAACGTTTTAAAAGCAATTTTCTGTAGTAAGATGTTGTGATGATCCCGTACACCCGTACGTGTCTTTGGAATTATAAATAATGTGAGGTTGCCGACCGAGGCTGCTAAGTGCTGACCGTTTCCGATGCGAGGTCGTGAACTATGCGGAATTGGCTCACACGTGGACTCTGTAGAACTGAGCGTGATTTTGGATTTCAGACTCGGCGCGAACGGATAGTGTACGTATTTGGCCGGACAGTATACATATTTGGTACAACTTTGGATTTGTGGTGTGAAGGAACGGTGGCCAGATAGTGTACGTATTTGGTCGGATAGTATAGTATTTGATATAATTTTTTTAGTAGTCTTTGTGACCGGATAGTATACATTTTTTTATCACCAGGTAAATGATTACTCCATAGCTTTTTTAGGCGTAGAGAAGTATATATCTGAGTAGAACTTACGAATTTGAACTAGTATATACTGGTATATCTATATGTTTGCTGTCGTCCGTTGGTTTCAGAAATCACTTTTTTTTTTGGCGACCACAATCACAACTGGAAGCTGATACGATATCTATATAGCCTTTTTAATTCCAAAAAAAACAATGTTTTAGCTTTGACCACAACAATGCACAGTATCACAGTGCGTATAGCGGAACTCCTTTTACGACTGTAAAAAGTTTACAACCCGAACCACTGTTGTACTCCGTACCTTGTACGCCGTGTACAAGTACAACACAGAAAGGCGCTTTCTCAATCAACTCTCAAGCTGTTGGATCCATTAAGAAAACCACAGTAGGCAATCAATCAAAACAAGGAAATGGCTGGCTGGGGCTGGGCTGGCCAGCCTCCTCACAAAAACACTATTTATCTAAACTAATCAGCAATATTTTTCTCTCACATAAACGAACCAGCAACGATACGAACCCGCCCATACAGGCTGACGGTTCACGGGACCGGAGCAGACGAGGAAACATGCCATGATGGGCGCGATCCATTCTGATACGCTCTGCTTACCGAAGCCTGAAGCAGACAGAGTCTGTGAACTGCATGCCGGCCCAACCCACATGCGAACAGCAGCAGGAGGAGCCAAGGCCGGTTCGTTCACCTGCAACTGCACACTGCAGGTTTGTGGTGAACGACCAGCATCGCGGTCCGCACCGCACGCAACGGACGATGCTCGCATTGCACGCAACGGACCTTTTGACAACTCCCCGAATCCCAAGCTCTTTCTCTCTTCTTCTCCATCTCCTGCGGTATGCAGGCTTAGAAGGTGCTCGGGAGAGGCAGACTGGTCTGGTGGTTAGACGGGAGAGACGATGGCGAGGCGGAGGCGGTTGAACAGGGATGGGGGTTAGGGCGGGGGCAACCGTGGCCATGACGGCGGCGGGGGGAGGGGGGAAGAAGGAGGGCCGCAGGCACGATAGGGCGGTGGGTGGCAGCGGCGCCGGGATCGCACGCTCGCCCTTTGCGTGACCTGTCGCGCGTTAACTGCGTCCTATATCAGATCTGCGAACGTCTCGTGCTTTTGGTGCCACGGGGTGGAGGCCATGGTCACGATATCATACCACGCAGTGGTCACGCTGCGGTCCAAAACACATCGTAAGGTGCATGGCACCGCATGGACTAGTGTACCACGGTAGTAGTACATGTCCCGTCTCCATTTACACGTCGTTTCCGCATCTGTCGTCGCTCATTCTTACCTATTTTACTTTTCAGTTTAGAACCACAAAAACTTCATCGACATCACATCACTCATGTCATATTGTCATGCTCTAGCCGCCCAAGTCAATTTGTATCACGGTTGGTCACACCACTCATGGCATAGCTCTCTTTTCGCTTGAGCCTGTTTATGAAGAACAATATACAATATATAGCCTGTTCGGTTGGCTGGTTCGTTTCGTTGCTGGTTCGTGAAGAAGTACTGCTGGCTGGTTTGTGTGAGAGAAAAATACTGTTCCAGCTGAAAATTTACGATCGTTTACGATAAGCCACAGCCAAACGAACGGGCTGATAACGTCCTATCTTGAATGTAAACGGCGGAGCGAGACAATTTGGCTAGATAGATACTACTAGGATCTAATAATGATTTTTTTTAAAAACGTAAGACGAATGAACCGCACGAAACGCCTAGACCGCACAAATGCACAGTGAAATTAAAAAGAGATCGAGATGAGCTAGCAATGCCCAAATGCATGCACTTGAATTATTTCACGCACGCTTGCACCGTCGCATTGCACGTACATGGACGACAGCCAGGCCCGGGGCATATCCATCTACACCAACGCCGCCCTATTCGTTTCGCTGAAATTTGGCTTATTTATGCTGATGTTTATGTTGATTTGTTATAAGAGGAAAACATTATTCGTTCGTTGAAAAATACCGATGAAGTATGGCTGCAGAACAGGGCAAACCAACAATTAAAGCTGTATCTATCGGTCTATCTGCAGGCGGACTGCTCTGCACGGTGCGCGCGGGTGCTACGATCACAGTTCTCACCGAGTTTTCACTCTTTTTCGCTAGCACGGTAGCACCAGCAAACAAATCCGAAACTGATCGATCCGGCCGCGCACCAACGACTGATCCATCCCCAGGTTCGTCTTGCCCGTGCATTTGTCATCAGTTTGCTGCGCTGCAGCTGCAGAGTATGCAGCTCGTTCGGCGCCTGGCTGTTGGCGCATGCAGCACGCATGTATGTGGTCGGCGTCGCGCGCGGCTCTCTCCTATCTGAACCTGATGGATGGCGCGCGAGGCATGGCTCCATGCATCCAACGCTCTCGATCGCGGGCCGAGAGACGGTTGCGATGGCAAAGCAGAGTTGATGACTTGATGAGGGAGCAGCGGCCGCGCACGCGATAATGCCCGCCTGCGCCTGCCGACGCGCGCGCCGCCCCGGCCGCAATCACGCAGACGCGGAGTGATGCATGATCTGGTATTCTGGTTGGCAATTTGGCATGCAGCAGGGCGCGGTGGTTTATTTGCATCGCACGTCTTGTACGAGTCCACCGCCCGCCCGGCATGGGAGCTAGCTAGCGACCTAGACCAGCTATATATTGTATGATTTGTATCCGACGTCAGATGGGAGCTTGAAGTAGTATCTAGCAAGTGCATGCCATATCGTCGATGGATCGCGACAGCAGATCGATGCATCCTGATTTGTACTGTCCTTCCTTCCTGAGCTACTAGTAGAAAGCGCGCGCCCTCGCGGGCGTATGCAAGTGTGTCGTTGTTAAGCTCGCAATAGTTTAATAATTTAAGAGACAGCCTAGCTACATAGCAAAAACAAAAAAAACTACACATTTCACAAGCACGACATGAACTATGAGTAGATTACATGTCTTATATAGATGTGGCAGCTAACGTAATATACATTATAGGTGAAGACTCTATAAGTATGGAGTGTATAATGTGTACATCTTGCTCTTGAGTGGCTGTCACCTGTATATGCTTGTGCAACCTCTCTCAAAAGAAAATAACCTGGTTGTTAGTAATGGAAAGAAGAGGTCGCTAAAGCAAAAGTTAGAAAAAAACAGCAGGAGACATCATCCCAACCCAGTAGTGCATTAATCTATTTGAGATTGAGAAGCATCACATACCGAATCATCAGTTCATAGTAGATGCACTTCAGTTGTAGGAGGGGATATTGTCACCCTCCTTTGGTTTTTTTGCTTTGATGGATGTGCGTCAAATAATGTAGTACTGATCTTCATTGATAAAATTTGTGCCCGGACATGACCTTGATGATGTAGGAATAGGACCTGTGACGACGATAATGGTAGGCTTTCTATGAATCAGCATCTGAGTAAAAATACGAAGTATTAACATAAGAGCTAAATGTCTATGCCTGATAAATAGGTTGTTCGTCCATTGTGTTCTGAATCATAGCGACAATGGCCTGTAATAAACAGAAGTGACAGTAATATAAGTGCATAGCTAGTGAACAAATCAGTAGAAAGTGGCATAGTCCATCTTCCGGTCTATGTGATTATCAATTTATATTATAAGGAGACAAATAGACAAAGATTAGCTGTGATTTTGCAAAAAATGATTAGTGCTTTGGTAAGCGAGTGTGATGGCAACGATATCACAAAAAGCTACAGGTCGATTGCTGGAGGCTGAGTATTCCTTAGAGATCAAAGAACTAAACCCGGCCTTGGCATGATACTGTACACTACAATTTGTCTCTAGTTTTAGAACAAATCCGAGAACTTATCGCACAATTTTGTTCCGGCATGGCACACTGAATTACAAAAATATTAGAACCTGCCACACCACGTTTGAGCATTAGGGGCACAATTGAATCACACAATGGAAGTGCCACAGTTCAGTACGGTCTCACCATTTATCCTTTTAGGCGTAGCTGGTTGTCGTCCCTCAACAATTACTTGATGACCGCAATAAATCTACGTGAAGCAAAAGGAAAAAGATATTTAAATGCGAGGAATGTTCATGGTTGTAAAACTTTTGTGCTAGAGGATATCACTTGATGGATTGTAAGACAATGTTCTAGAATTTAGTATTACAAAAACCAACAAAGTAGCAACACATGTCTTAACACACCTAGCGCACTGTGAAAGATAGATAGGAACTGTTACTAATGTGATAGATTAGATTTTGTAGCTAGATTATTTCATCAACAAACAATACCTATGCCCAAAGGGGAA